GATTTAGCTATGTCCGTCCGTCTGTCCGTCCGTCCGTGTAAACCTTGTAATCAAACTACAGCAATTTTGAAGATAATTCAATGAAATTTTGCATGATCTTCTATTGTACTAGAGACGGATCCTATTGAAAATGGATAACATCGGTCCAATATTTGACCTAGCCCCCATACAACTGAACCCCCCAAATAGGGTTTTTAAGTTCATAATTATGTTCAATATACTCGTAACTCGACAAAAAGCTGCAAAACCAAGTTCTATACTAGCCTTCATGACCCTGATGTATTTTTTGATGATGCGGCCTCATTTGACCAAAGCCCCCTTCGAAATATGACTTAAATGTACACAATTTTATTCAACAAAAAATAGCTAAATTATATCTGAGGCAAGGTACAATTCAACTTAGATGCTTTATTATGAACAATAAATCACATTTTATTTTTATAACTGGTGTAGGGTATTATATGGTAGGCTTCGCCCCAACTATAACTTTTTACTTGTTAGCACATTGTTGGTCGTAGACCGACCCAAAAAGTATACACATTCTGTGTCTGTAAGCTGAAAACACGAGTTAGAAGACTCATTCTATTTGGGCTGCAAATTTGGACCAAAATTGACACAAGAAAACCTAATTGGACCTCCTCTGAAAATCACATTGATGCTGATATTAATATCAATACATTACAATATTTTGATGGTGGGTATTTAATTTCGGCACAGTCGAATACAAACTTTATTTTTCAATACTAGAGGATTTTACATTTCTAACTTTATACAAATCTGAATGATACCGGTAAAGGTAAATTACCTTGTTCTGAATGCACCTAAAATTTTTAAATTAATACTACGAATATAATAATATGTTCCAAAACTAATATGTATTTTGAATAAAATTCCAAATATTTTTCAAAGAATAGGTTCTAAATTGATGTTCGAATAATTGAATTGGTATCTGTTATAATTATTAGTTCACATGGAACAGTATGAGGTTTTAAAAAGTGCTTATGTCTAATTTCGGAACTTGATATTTATTTTTATTTAGGAAGTAAGTATGTATTTAAAAAGTTTCAGAAATTATGCAATTCTGAAAGTTTTTATTTAAAACTTGGAATTAATTGGATTGTTTTAATTTAAATATATCTTCTGTCTGTTAAATTTCCACAAAATTAAACAATTTTCTTTACAAATATGATGATTTAAAGATTTTCATATATAAAATAATTAAATTCATGTAATCCCGAAATCCCGTAAAATCCCGAAATACCGAAAAATCCCGGGATCCCGAAAAATCCCGGGATCCCGAAATATCCCGGGATCCCGGGATTGCAATTTTCAAAATCCCGAATCCCGGGATTTGTAAAAGCCAGTCCCGTTTGGCATCCCTAGTACCAAGTGATATTTTTTGGTACTTTTCATTCTCCAACTGGTCCTTTTTGAGTTTTCTATGATATTGAAATAGAAACATGAAATTAATAATAAAGGGACTTTTCGCTACTTTTTCGTTCTACACAGGTACTTTTTTGAGTTTTCTTTAAAATTAAACCTAGAAACATGAAATTAAGCATGTAGAGCTCGGAGTAAATGAGAATCTATAAAATGGGACTTTTTGGTACTTTTTCGTTCTTCAAAGGTACTTTTTGAATTTTCTATAATATTAAACCTAGAAACATGAAATTAAACATGTAGAGACCGGAGTAAATTAGAATCTATAAAAGGGGACTTTTTGGTACTTTTTCGTCCTTCGACTGGTACTTTTTTTAGTTTTCTATAAAATTTAACATAGAAACATGAAATTAAGCATGTAGAGCCCGGAGTAAATGAGAATCTATAAAAGGGGACTATTTGGTACATTTTCGTCTTTCGACTGGTACTTTTTGAGTTTTCTATAAAATTTAACCTAGAAACATGAAATTAAGCATGTAGAGCCCTTAGTAAATGAGAATCTATAAAAGGGGACTTTTTGGTACTTTTTCGTCCTTCGACTGGTACTTTTTGAGTTTTCTATAAAATTTAACCTAGAAACATGAAATTAAGCATGTAGAGCCCTTAGTAAATGAGAATCTATAAAAGGGGACTTTTTGGTACTTTTTGGTCTTTCGACTGATACTTTTTGAGTTTTCTATAAAATTTAACCTAGAAACATGAAATTAAGCATGTAGAACCCGGAGTAAATGAGAATCTATAAAGGGGACTTTTTGGAACTTTTTCGTCTTTCGACTGGTATTTTTTGAGTTTTCTATAAAATTTAACCTAGAAACATGAATTTAAGCATGTAGAGCCCAGAGTAAATGAGAATCTATAATAGGGGACTTTTTGGTACTTTTTCGTCCTTCGACTGGTACTTTTTGAGTTTTCTATAAAATTTAACCTAGAAACATGAAATTAAGCATGCGGAGGCCTTAGTTAATGAGAATCTATAAAAGGGGACTTTTTGGTACTTTTCCGTCCTTCGACTGGTACTTTTGAGTTTTCTATAAAATTTAACCTAGAAACATGAATTTAAGCATGTAGAGCCCAGAGTAAATGAGAATCTATAATAGGGGACTTTTTGGTACTTTTTCGTCCTTCGACTGGTACTTTTTGAGTTTTCTATAAAATTTAACCTAGAAACATGAAATTAAGCATGCGGAGGCCTTAGTTAATGAGAATCTATAAAAGGGGACTTTTTGGTACTTTTTCGTCCTTCGACTGGTACTTTTTGAGTTTTCTATAAAATTTAACCTAGAAACATAAATTAAGCATGTAGAGCCCTTAGTAAATGAGAATCTATAAAAGGGGACTTTTTGGTACTTTTTCGTCTTTCGACTGGTACTTTTTGAGTTTTCTGTAAAATTTAACCTAGAAACATGAAATTAAGCATGTAGAGCCCTTAGTAAATGAGAATCTATAAAAGGGGACTTTTTGGTACTTTTTCGTCCTTCGACTGGTACTTTTTGAGTTTTCTATAAAATTTAACCTAGAAACATGAAATTAAGCATGTAGAGCCCAGAGTAAATGAGAATCTATAATAGGGGACTTTTTGGTACTTTTTCGTCCTTCGACTGGTACTTTTTGAGTTTTCTATAAAATTAAACCTAGAAACATGAAATTAAGCATGTAGAGCCCTTAGTAAATGAGAATCTATAAAAGGGGACTTTTTGGTACTTTTTCGTCCTTCGACTGGTACGTTTTGAGTTTTCTATAAAATTTAACCTAGAAACATGAAATTAAGCATGTAGAGCCCTTCGTAAATGAGAATCTATAAAAGGGGACTTTTTGGTACTTTTTCGTCTTTCGACTGGTACTTTTTGAGTTTTCTATAAAATTTAACCTAGAAACATGAAATTAAGCATGTAGAGCCCGGAGTAAATGAGAATCTATAAAAGGGGACTTTTTGGTACTTTTTCGTCCTTCGACTGGTACTTTTTGAGTTTTCTATAAAATTTAACCTAGAAACATGAAATTAAGCATGTAGAGCCCTTAGTAAATGAGAATCTATAAAAGGGGACTTTTTGGTACTTTTTCGTCTTTCGACTGGTACTTTTTGAATTTTCTATAATATTGATCCTAGAAAGATTGAAATTAAGCATGTAGAGCCTGGAGTAAATGAGAATCTATAAAAGGGGACTTTTTGGTACTTTTTCGTTCTTCAAAAGGTACTTTATGAATTTTCTATAATATTGAAAATAGAAACATAAAAGTATGCATGTAGAGCCTGGATTAAGTGAGAAACTATAAAAAGGGGACTTTTTGGTACTTTTTTGTTCTTCAAAAGGTACTTTTGAATTTTCTATAATATTGAACCTAGAAACATGAAATTAAACATGTAGAGCCCGAATTAAGTGAGGACCTATAAAAGGGGACTTTTTGGTACTTTTTCGTTCTTCAAAAAGTACTTTTTGAATTTTCTATAATATTGATCCTAGAAGCATGAAATTAAGCATGTAGAGCCTGGAGTAAATGAGAATCTATAAAGGGGACTTTTTGGTACTTTTTCGTTCTTCAAAAGGTACTTTTTGAATTTTCTATAATATTGATCCTAGAAGCATGAAATTAAGCATATAGAGCCTGGAGTAAATGAGAATCTATAAGAGGGGACTTTTTGGTACTTTTTCGTTCTTCAAAAGGTACTTTTTGAATTTTCTATAATATTGAACCTAGAAACATGAAATTAAGCAAGTACAGCCAAGATTAAGTGATAACCTATAAAAGGGGACTTTTCGGCACTTTTTCGTTCTTCAAAAGGTACTTTTTGAATGTTCTATAATATTGAACCTAGAAACATGAAATTAAGTACGTATAGCTCGGAGTAAGTGAGAACATATAAAAGAGGACTTTTTGGTAATTTTTCGTTCTTCAACTGGTACTTTTTTAATTTTCTATAATATTGAACTTAGGAACATGAAATTAAATAAAAGAGGTCTTTTGTTACTTTTTCGTACTTCATTGGTACTTTTTGAGTTTTCTAAAATATTGAATATATAAACATAAATTTAAATAGGGGACTTTTTGATATTGCAGATATATATACATTTACAATAATATTTATTTTATTCCATTACGATGAGGGTAGCGAAGCACACTGGGTATAGCTAGTAAATAATAATTTGTGAAATATTAGAGAATTTTTGTTAATTAATTTTAGAATTAGTTTAAAATATACTCAAAATATTATCAAATGCTTGATATTTGTATAATTACAAAGAAATAACCAAGAATTGTGAGAATTATTATTAAATATTTTTGGAAATATGTTTAAAAGTCAATTGTTTACTTTTGCATTAAAATATTTTTGTTTTGAAATGATAATTTCACAATTTTTTATTTGAGGTGTAAAAATGCGATTAATTCACAATTAAAATTTAAACCTGTAAATATACATATAATGACGATTTCTGAAAAATAAAAAAACTATAACAGAAAACTATATTCAGACGTATAAAAATACAACATTTTTTAAAAAAATGTAACTTAAGAAATTTGGCTTGTTTTAACTAATTCTATTCTTTACTAATATGTTACAGGGTCTTGAACATTTAATGTACAGCTTGGGACTGGGGCAAATTGAATTTGAAGCTTCACACACTATAGACGAGCATCATCCACACGGTCTATCGAATAATCTTAAAGATCATGAGGAAATGAAATCATACATGGATATACAAACCATAAAACTATTGCCAGATGATGATGATGTTCAAATCGCTCAGAAAAAATCTCAGGAAAAAACTAGTGGCCATGAAAATGATAGTAAAAATGATAAAGATATTATTTTAGAGTTTAAAGAAATGCACGATCCCAAACATAGACATCCTCGAGAAAATGGTAAGTAGTATTTTTAATAAAATTTAAATACAGTTTAATGACTTTTTGTGTTTACTAACTAACTATGAAAAATATTATAAAAACTCAATGTCGAGATATGAATTAAAACAAAATTTATATCCACACACTTTTTATCATCACAAAGATACATACATATGTACATGTAGAAAGGGGACTTAAATTTGTACTTGATATTACCTTGACTTTACCTCTTGGAACTTTTATCTTAAATTATAGCGATAATTAAGAATATTCCATAAAATACTACATATGTATGTACATACATAGAATACTACAGCAGCAATAAAATATTACCATTTTAAATTGGCAAAAAACATAAACAGATACTTCAGAAATAAGTAGCACGAGTATGAGTTTGAATATTTATTTAAATTTCAAATGATTTCATCATAAGCATTATTATTATTGAGTTGTTATTATTACAACGGTATTTATTTATATAAATTTTTTCAATACATATTTACACATTTAAATCGTTAATTTAATAATATGTTTACTAATCGCTGTCAATATTATTCTATATGGTTTTGTGTGACATTTTCTTGAATTAACATGCAAATCAACATATTTACTGGATACAAATTAGCAACTTTGTATTTACAAATGTGTATTAACTATTTATTATTGATTTTCTACACACGCTTTATGAACATTTGATTAAAATAACAAAAACATTTATAATTTATATGAAAGATTTACAATTAAGGAAAGGGCTGCGAGAAAACTTGCCAGAAACAAATACCTTTTAATACGCACAATTTTTGTATACACCACTAATAAAGTTGGGTGGTATGTTGATTTGGTCACTCCCACAAAGTGCTAACATCAGTCTACATTTGACCCTAGCCTCAATATAAGGTCCCCTTTAGTAAATAGCTATAAGATTTATAACTAGCTTAAACAAGTTTTTTATGGACCAAAATATTCTCTACTAAATTTTATAAGAATTGGTCCTTATTTGAAATTCCTTTTTTGTCACAAATCGTTTAAGAATTAAGGTATTAAGATTCGAAATTATTTACTCTCTCTTGCGGAAACGGAAATCTGTCTTTTCTCAAGAAAGACAAAAATTTCGACGTATACTGAACCTTGCTTCCTGGGCAAGAAGATCCCAGTGACTGACAAAGTTAAATACTTAGGTGTAATCTCGACCGGAAATTAAAATGGAGACACCACATAGAGGATAAGATCAACAAGGCACATCGGTGCTGGGCGATATGTAGGAGAACTATAGGCATGAAATTGGGTCTTAGTCCTACTATGACTGCTTTAGACAAAAAGTGCAATATCAAACTACTACAGGGAGTTCAGCGTACATGCTGCTTGGGTATAAGTGGTGCCATGTGTACTACTTCAACCAAGGCTCTGGAAACGTTGCTAGATATTCCACCCATTGAAACATATTTAAGATATGAGGCGGTGCTGGCCAAAAGCGGTTATAGGAAGGTTATACACAATCATCGGACGTGCCTGATCGTATACCAGACACAGAATATGTCGGAAACTTTGAAACGCTGATCCCAGATAGAATGTCTTGGTCAAGCGGAACGTTAGAGCAAATACCAGTAGGAATCCGTTGTTACACGGATGGCTCTAAATTGGGGGACAAAGTGGGCTGGGGTTCTATGTTGAAGACCCAGAAACAGAAGTATACCACCGTTTACCAAATCATAACACAAGCTTCCAGGCAGAAGTACGAGCAATAACGGAATGCGTAAATTGGATTAGAATAAATATGGCGCCCACAGCGCTCAATAAATTTGCCGATAGTCAGAAGGCAATTAGGCGATAGAACTAAATCTAAGACCGTATTGGATTGTAAGAAAGCTTTAACTGAATACTCTCCCAGAGGTAAGGTTCACATCATATGGGTACCAACCCACTCGGGAGTAGTCGGTAACAAAAGGGCGAATCTAATAGCTTTAAAGGGTAGGGAGCTCGAGGCAGTTAACCTGACAAACGCGAAACCATTCGACGCAACAAAAGCTGAACTAAAAATATGGGCGAGAGAATCCCATAAGGCCTCTTGGCCTAGGTGTATTACTTCGGATTTGATGTAGTATACATCCTCCTATCAACCTACCTACCTATCTACTCTCTCGAATTCTGAAGAGTTCGGTCCATAACACAGGTCAAATTTTTAACCCAGAGATCAAAGTATTATTTTCTAACTTAACTTGTGGCCTAATAATTTCTCTATCAAAACAGATTTTCAAGTTGTTGTTTCCTAAATAGCTCAAAGACACCTTTATTTATATAATTATGTCATCTGTCATTTACTCAAAGCCAGGGTAGGCGAAATTGGTACAATTCTGTGGCAAAAGTGTATAAGTTTTAGGGTGATCGACTCGATTTTTCAACCGGTTTTAAAGCCGGTTTTTTCTGCTTTACCAGTGCCGGTTTTTTCTAAATGTCGATTATTCGAATATCGAATAATTCAAACTGAATTACGTACAACATGTGTAATTCGCAGCTGAATCGCAGGCGAATCATGTCATTCAGTACGTAATTGGGGGTTGAATGATGAATGAGAGCGTGAATTACGAATAATTGCACCGTGTGAACGATTTTCTTAACGTTCGGGCTTTATTTGACCTTAGGCCCTATGTAAAGTTCCCTTCCGAAAATTACTTGAAGGCCAATAATTCACTTATAAACACTAGTATCACCGACATTTATAAGGTTAGGCCCATATTTACACTTGCCCCCTATGGTCTAGTCTACTAAATAGTCTAGGGACTAGTACATGTATGAATTAGTCTTTGGCTTGTATATGGAGTCAAGTCTTTAGAGTGGTCTATTATTTAGTCTATAGACTATTCTATTGTACAGTTTATAGAAAGTAGTCTATAAATGAATTAGTCTTTGGAATAGCATACGATCTATTCTATAGCTGATAGGTTTACTGACTAATGCCACTGACAAGGGTTTCGTTTTCATTGTTCTTCAGTTAATTTACACATATATGTTGATATTAAATTAGTATTACATTTTTTTACTTTTAATCAGAACTTTGTGTTAATATTTTTTAACTTAGTAACTACTCAAACTATTATCTAATTGTATTTGTTAATTACATACGTACATATGTAGTTACCAGAAAGCGACACATTTTCACAATATTTTTCAAAAGTTTCTATTTATCTTAATAATTTGCATTGATTTCCAAAATCAATATTTAGCTTAATAATAACTTTAATATACTAGATACATAACTATAGAATTGCGATGCATCAACTGTAACAATTATTTCAATAAAATTTACATAATTTACAAAATAAATTTAATTAAATTGTTACATTACTAAATTGCATTTTTAATATTTATTTTACCGGTGCCAAACATTTTAATTAACAAGTTGTAAAGCATCAAAACAATAATAAAGATCATTTAAAAACACGGGATTTTTTCTTTTAACAATTAGTTTTTGTAAATTATTTATTGACTTAAATAAATAAATATTTTTTTAAAATTCCAATAGTTGCTATAGTAAGTACTAGTTGTTGCAGTAAGCAAATAATATGACACAGAGTAAAATCCAAAAATTATATTTATTTGTAATTCAAGTACAAGTTCAATTATAATTTTATTTATTTTCAAGTGCACTATTATAATTATAAGTAGAATCAAACAATGAAATTCTAATTAAAATTGTTGTACAATGTTTACAAATTATGTTGAAACCTATTGTCAAGCATAAATTACATATTTATGAATGAATCTAATATGTAAATGATTAGAAAATAAACTGAAAATTACATTAATGAATAATAAATTATTCTACACGTTTAAAATTAATACTGTATGTATATAACGGATATTAAGTTGGAATGCATTACCCACTGTTTTCTCAACTTTTATCTTTTCATATCTACCATCAAAAAAGATTTTGTAGAATTCGTTTTATACTTGACCTAAGCCCCACTAAATGGCCCTATTCTAAAAATCTCTCTTATGCTCAGATTAATATCAATATATGACGTTTTGAGGGCAAATATATGTAATATTCAAAATAGTGGAATATGATACTCTTAGGGCGGTTTTTTGAGTTGACAATTAAATGCCAATTAATAATCAGATTAGTTAATCTGATAATAAATTTAATCTAATGTTAATCTCCTTTGATGTTTTTGAGTACAAATTGCCACACAAAAACACCAACAACGTCACTGTTTGCTATCAAAACAATGCATGTCTTATAAAAAAAGAAGAAGACAACTGTAATATGAAAATTAAAGAAAACTTAAATTAAAAACAAAAGAAATAAACATTGTAATGCTTATACTAAGGCCACCACCAAAGCCGATAAAGTTTTCGGAATAAGTCTAAAACTAATTGGACAATGTTCGGGACCTTACTAAAGAACCGTTTAGGTCAGGACACTTTTCAATGTCGAAATAAAGAGGATATAGATGCCAAAGTGGAAACGTTCACAAGTGCCCTGGTTGAATCGTTCGAGGACAGCTGCCCTCTGCGAGAGCGGAGATCTGCCCAGGAAAAACCCTGGGTAACTGGGGAGATCCGGAACCTTGGGAAGACTCTTCGCAAACTATTTAATCGGGCACGGCGTAAAAAGACCGCAGTATACTGGGATGAGTATCGTAATAAACTTGGTGAATATAAGAAAATCGTTCGAAAAGCCAAACGAGACTCCTGGAAACTTTTCTGTGAACAGGTAGATAGCGTAAATGACGTATCGAAGATAAAAAAATTCCTATCCAAAACTCATGTCCAACCGGAATCTATGATCGATGACACGGGCAGGAGGCTTGAGGATATGGAGGAGACAATGAAACTCCTAATGGATTCTCATTTCCCACCCGGTATATCGAATAACATAGATGAACCGATATTGGAGGAAGGGGAGGGTAACACGGAAATAGTAATTACAACTGACATGGTGAAAGGGGCAATCAAGAGCTTTGCTCCCTATAAAGCTGCAGGGCCGGATGGAATTTTCCCGGCACTTTTGCAGATGGAGGCGGGACTGGTTTCCGTACATCTGTCACAGATATTCACGGCATGCTTAAAATTGGCATATACCCCAGTTAAATGGCAGGATGCAAGGGTAATATTTATACCCAAACCAGGGAAACCTAGCTATGCGACACCTAAGTCCTATCGACCAATAAGTCTTACGTCCTTCCTACTTAAAACCTTGGAACGGATAGTCGATAGCATGGTTAAAAGCAGCATACAATACAATGACCTTAAATATAAGCAGCATGCTTATGTAAAGGGACGATCGGTGGAAACCGCTTTAAATGAAGTTGTCCACTACATAAGTGAATCTTTCGATAGCAAACTGTATACACTGGCAGTATGCATTGACATCGAAGGCGCTTTCAATAACGTGCACACTGATACCCTTATCCAATCCCTAGACCAGTTTTATGTTGACCGGGTGCTCCGTAACTGGATCAACTACATGCTAAGGAACAGATGGATAAGCTGCGAGATGTACGATATAACTATCAGGAAAAAGGTATTTCGCGGTATACCACAGGGTGGCATTTTGTCACCTTTACTCTGGGTCACCACGATTAATAGCCTCCTAAGGACCCTAACCGAGAAAGGACTTAGACCTGTCTGCTATGCAGACGATGTCGTAATACTTTTAAAGGGAAAGGATCCAAATTACTTGTGTAGAAGAGCTGAGGAGGCTCTGAATACGGCCTTGAGCTGGGCTCAACCGAGAGGCCTCAATGTTAACCCGGCGAAGACGGAAATCTGTCTTTTCACAAGAAAGACAAAAATTTCTACATATACTGAACCTTGCTTCTTGGGCAAGAAGATACCGGTGACAGACAAAGTTAAGTATTTAGGTGTAATACTTGACCGGAAATTAAAATGGAGACACCACATAGAGGATAGGATCAACAAGGCACATCGGTGCTGGGCGATATGTAGGAGAACCATAGGCATGAAATGGGGTCTTAGTCCTACTATGACAAATTGGCTTTATAAAAGTGTAATTAGACCAATTCTAGCTTATGCTTCAATAATCTGGTGGACTGCTTTGGACAAAAAGTGTAATATCAAACTACTACAGGGAGTTCAGCGTACATGCTGCTTGGGTATAAGTGGTGCCATGTGTACTACTTCAACCAAGGCTCTGGAAACGTTGCTAGATATTCCACCCATTGAAACATATATAAGATATGAGGCGGCGCTTACAGCCGAACGGCTCTTTACTTTAGGCGAACTGGCCAAAAACGGTTATAGGACACGTCATCAATGTATACTGGACACATTGGAAGGTTATACACATTCATCGGACGTGCCTGATCGCATACCAGACACTGAATATGTCGGAAACTTTGAAACGCTAATCCCAGATAGAATGTCTTGGTCAAGCGGAACATTAGAGCAAATACCAGTAGGAATCCGTTGCTACACGGATGGCTCTAAATTAGGGGACAAAGTGGGTCTGGGGTTCTATATTGAAGACCCAGAAACAGAAATATACCACCGTTTACCTAATCATAACACAAGCTTCCAGGCAGAAGTACGAGCAATAACGGAATGTGTAAATTGGATTAGAATAAATATGGCGCCCACAGGGCTTAATATATTTACCGACAGCCAGAAGGCAATTTGTGCGATATCAGGTGATAGAATTAAATCTAAGACCGTATTGGATTGTAAGAAAGCTTTAACTGAATACTCTCCCAGAGGTAAGGTTCACATCATATGGGTACCAGGCCACTCGGGAGTAATCGGCAACGAAAGGGCGAATGTAATAGCTTTAAAGGGAAGGGAGCTCGATGTAGTTAACCTGACAAACGCAAAACCATTCGACGCAACAAAAGCTGAATTAAAAATATGGATGAGAGAATCCCATAAGGCCTCTTGGAATAATGAAACGGTGGGTAGAACCACAAAGATTCTATGGGGTGACCCTGATGAGAGCAAGACGAGAAATCTTCTCAAAATGAGCAAGTCTGAGGTTAGTATGATGGTACGTATTCTCAGTGGACACACAGGATTACGAGCACATCTATACAAAATTGGACGTGCGAATTCAGACGAATGTAGAGCATGTGGAGAGGACAGTGAAACTCTGGAGCACTTTCTTTGCCATTGTCAGGCATTCGTCGAAGTTAGATCCAAGTATCTTGGAAGTGATGTTATTCCGGAAATAACATTCTTAACCAACACCGATTGGAAGATTCTTAGGAATTACGTCCAGGAAACTGAGTTTCTGAACATTCAGTAAACAATTTTTTTTTTTTTTTTTTTTTTTTTTTTTTTTTTTTTTTCTTGAATTGGAGCGCACAACAGGCCCGATAGTGGCCTAGGTGTATTTCTTCGGATTTGATGTAGTATACATCCTCCTATCAACCTAACCTAACCTAACCTATTTTTATAAAAATTTTATAATTTTTTGCATCAGCTGTTTACACTTTTACATATCTTGCTCAAGTTTAAGCAGTTTACGCTAGCAAACAAAATTTAACTAATTGATGAACATTCGATGATTAATTTTAATTCAATCGCTAATCGTTTACCTAAAGATTGTCTCTTACTTGTTTCCTTTTAACTGCGGTTAAGAGAAAAATATACATAGAAGCGTAAATTAGAAATAAGAGCACTAATCGCGCCCATAAAACTTAAGCAGACATATAAGTTTTATGTAGAAGTATACAGAGGGAAAATGAAATATACACGCCTGGTACCAAATTGACACAAAACTGTTCATAATTTTTCAATACCATCCGTTGTCAAAGTATATACATACGTACAACAACACTATGTAATGTTGACAACATTGCAACAATTCGTTGTCGAAATCTAAATTTTATACACATCCCTTGTCTAAATGTTAACAAACGTGGTAAGATCACTATTGACAAACAATCCGTGCCAATAGTGAACTTACCACGTTTGTTAACATTTAGACAACGGATGTGCATAAAGATTTCGACATCGAATTGTTGAAATGTTGATAACGTTGTGTTGTCGAAAGCCTTTCAATATTTAAGAAAAAATAGGAAGAACAGCAATAGAGGACGTGTCAAAAGTGTTCTAATGAAGATTTTTTCTATTGTTATGAGGGTAGCGAAGCAGACTGGGTAAAGCTTGTCTCAAATAAAATACACTTATGAAAACTTTAGAAAAATTCCATATTTGTAATTTTAATACATATAATTTGCATTTAACGAAACGGAAATACATGTTTTGTTAACTAAAATATCGCAAATGATTTGAGAAGCATTCCAGTGATTAAATTAAGTCAATTGATAAAAGTCAGTTATTTTTTTTATTTAAATTCACTGGCTAACTTATAAAAATGTTAAGCTTTTTTAACTGCGATGTGCACTTTTTTATGAAAGTAAATATTTAATAAATTATTCTTAATAAATTCCAAGAAATTATCTAATTATGTTGACACAGACCACATTTATCAGCTGGATTATTTACATACAAAACAATCATAATGAAATAAAGTATAATTTTCCAGAGCCTTACAAGTAACTAATTAAAATGTAAAGTTGACAATTATTTCAAATCACTAATTAGTCTATATAAAAGACAATAATCTACTTTAGTAAAGTGTTTAAAACAGAATAATTTGTATTAAATGGCGGCACATGTGACACATTACACGGAAGCAGTGATGACACTTGTTGACAACACCATACAAAAAAAAAAAACAGTTAATTATATGGCGCGCGCGCCATCACATACATAAATATTTAAATGAGGGCATTGCCAGACTGCAACAAATATTGCATATATTTCGAAGGCTGCTAATCGGAGGGTTTATTGCATTATATTGTGCACAATGCGAAATAATGGAGAGAATTCTTCTTTATTATATCAAAGTCAGTCAGTTATTCAGTTAGTCAGTCAGATTGTTGACATACCAACAATCATTGTTCTACTACGGACGAGTGAGTGGATATCCATATATTAAATAAAATGGCTATAAATTCTCGACTTAATTGTTGTTGTAAAAGCAATGCGTAAATTAAAAATATTTGCACGTAATAAAACTGTTTTCAACGTTACCAACACACGTGAACAATTTTCCATTTGAATTGTAAGAATACGAGTGTGTATTTTATTTATTTTTGTATTTATTTATGAATAAATAAAACAATCTGTTTTCAAATAAATATACGATGTAAATTTTTTTTAAATATTTACATATGTACATCGAATATTTGTAAACAAAAAATGAGCGAACGTTTTAATCCACTGTGCATGATTTCCCGAAAACAACAAAAGAAATGTTCTAACCATAATTATAAGCCTTATAAGCCTTTTGTTATTATTTTTTTAACAACAAATCAATCATTTATGCCAATCACAAATTTGAACAACAAAAATATTACTAACAAGTTAAACATATCATACTCTACTCTTATTAATTATTTATTTTGTTTTCTTTCTTACTTTTGTCCAAAACCAGAAGCCACCTTTGATGGAACTCCATTGTCTGCGAATGTTTGTTTGTCGCCGAAATCCCTTTTGCGTTTGGTTGTCGACCACGATGATTTGCATAAACGTAAATTGTATAAAACATTTACATCATCTTCTGCAGCTGCGTCATCCTTAAACGCAAAAATGGAAATGAATAATCATGATCATGATTTGGAAGAGGAATACAATCATTTCATTAATAATGTTCGTTTAACTCCAGTAGCCTTTATGAAATTGTGTCCAGCTCTATTGGCTCAAATAGATCAACAAGTGTGTATACAATCTCTTCCTATGACGCATGCCAATTCTTCAAAGGGTGTTTTGTGGAATGGTAAGTTGTTAATAGAAAGCATTTCAAATCGGATATTACCACCAAATATATAGACTAGATTGTAGACTAGACTGTAGACTAGATTGTAGACTAGACTATAGATTAGGCCTTAGACTAGACTTTAGACTAGACTATAGACAATACTATAGACTAGACTATAGACTAGACTATAGAATAGACTATAGACTAGACTATAGACTAGACTATAGACTAGACTATAGACTAGACTATAGACTAGACTATAGACTAGACTATAGACTAGACTATAGACTAGACTATAGACTAGACTATAGACTAGACTATAGACTAGACTATAGACTAGACTATAGACTAGACTATAGACTAGACTATAGACTAGACTATAGACTAGACTATAGACTAGACTATAGACTAGACTATAGACTAGACTATAGACTAGACTATAGACTAGACTATAGACTAGACTATAGACTAGACTATAGACTAGACTATAGACTAGACTAGACTATAGACTAGACTAGACTAGACTATAGACTAGACTAGACTATAGACTAGACTAGACTAGACTATAGACTAGACTAGACTATAGACTAGACTATAGACTAGACTATAGGACTATAGACTAGACTATAGACTAGACTATAGACTAGACTATAGACTAGACTATAGACTAGACTATAGACTAGACTATAGACTAGACTATAGACTAGACTATAGACTAGACTATAGACTAGACTAGACTATAGACTAGACTAGACTATAGACTAGACTAGACTATAGACTAGACTATAGACTAGACTATAGACTAGACTATAGACTAGACTATAGACTAGACTATAGACTAGACTATAGACTAGACTATAGACTAGACTATAGACTAGACTATAGACTAGACTATAGACTAGACTATAGACTAGACTATAGACTAGACTATAGACTAGACTATAGACTAGACTATAGACTAGACTATAGACTAGACTATAGACTAGACTATAGACTAGACTATAGACTAGACTATAGACTAGACTATAGACTAGACTAATAACTAGACTATAGACTAGACTAGACTATAGACTAGACTAGACTATAGACTAGACTATAGACTAGACTATAGACTAGACTAGACTATAGACTAGACTATAGACTAGACTATAGACTAGACTATAGACTAGACTATAGACTAGACTATAGACTAGACTATAGACTAGACTATAGACTAGACTATAGACTAGACTATAGACTAGACTATAGACTAGACTATAGACTAGACTATAGACTAGACTATAGACTAGACTATAGACTAGACTATAGACTAGACTATAGACTAGACTATAGACTAGACTATAGACTAGACTATAGACTAGACTATAGACTAGACTATAGACTAGACTATAGACTAGACTATAGACCTAGACTATAGACTAGACTATAGACTAGACTATAGACTAGACTATAGACTAGACTATAGACTAGACTATAGACTAGACTATAGACTAGACTATAGACTAGACTATAGACTAGACTATAGACTAGACTATAGACTAGACTATAGACTAGACTATAGACTAGACTATAGACTAGACTATAGACTAGACTATAGACTAGACTATAGACTAGACTATAGACTAGACTATAGACTAGACTATAGACTAGACTATAGACTAGACTATAGACTAGACAATAGACTAGACTATAGACTAGACTATAGACTAGACTATAGACTAGACTATAGACTAGACTATAGACTAGACTATAGACTAGACTATAGATTAGACTATAGACTAGACTATAGACTAGACTATAGACTAGACTATAGACTAGACTATAGACTAGACTATAGACTAGACTATAGACTAGACTATAGACTAGACTATAGACTAGACTATAGACTAGACTATAGACTAGACTATAGACTAGACTATAGACTAGACTATAGACTAGACTATAGACTAGACTATAGACAAAAGTATAGACTAGACTATAGACTAGACTAGACTATAGACTAGACTAGACTATAGACTACACTAGACTATAGACTAGACTATAGACTAGACTATAGACTAGACTATAGACTAGACTATAGACTAGACTATAGACTAGACTATAGACTAGACTATAGACTAGACTATAGACTAGACTATAGACTAGACTATAGACTAGACTATAGACTAGACTATAGACTAGACTATAGACTAGACTATAGACTAGACTATAGACTAGACTATAGACTAGACTATAGACTAGACTATAGACTAGACTATAGACTAGACTATAGACTAGACTATAGACTAGACTATAGACTAGACTATAGACTAGACTATAGACTAGACTATAGACTATACTATAGACTATACTATAGACTAGACTATAGAATAGACTATAGACTAGGCTATATACTAGACTATAGACTAGAATATAGACTAGAATATAGACTAGAATATAAACTAGACTATAGACTAGACCATAGACTAGACTATAGACTTGACTATAGACTAGACTATAGACTAGACTATAGACTAGACTATAGACTAGTTTATAGACTACACTATAGACTAGACTATAGACTACACTATAGACTAGATTATAGACTAGACTATAGACTAGACTATAGACTGGAATATAGACTAGAATATAGACTAAACTATAGACTAGACTATAGTCTATTACTATTTTGAAATAGTACTAACTTATAACAAAAAGAATACTTTTTAGGATTTAAAGTACTAAACTATTGACTAGACTATAGACTAGATTGTACTCTAGATTGTAGACTAGATTGTAGACAAGATTGTAGACTAGATTGTAGACTAGATTGTAGACTAGATTGTAGACTAGATTGTAGACTAGATTGTAGACTATATTGTAGACTAGAGTGTAGACTAGATTGTAGACTAGATTGATGAATAGATTGTAGACTAGATTGTAGACTAGATTGAAGACTAGATTGTAGACTAGATTGAAGACTAGATTTTAGACTAGATTGTTGACTAGATTGTAGACTAGATTGTAGGCTAGACTATAGACTAGACTATAGACCTGACTAAGACTAGACTATAGACTAGACTATAGACTCCTATGACTTAGGAATAGACTAGACTGATAGACTAGACTATAGACTAGACTATAGACTAGACTAGACTAGACTATAGACTAGACTATAGACTAGACTATAGACTAGACTATACTAGACTAGACTAGACTATAGACTAGACTATAGACTAGACTAGACTATACATAGACTAGACTATAGACTAGACTAGACTATAGACTAGACTATAGACTAGACTATAGACTAGACTATAGACTAGACTATAGACAGACTATAGACTAGACTATAGACTAGACTATAGACTAGACTATAGACTAGACTATAGACTAACTATAGACTAGACTATAGACTAGACTAGACTATAGACTATAGACTAGACTATAGACTAGACTAGACTATAGACTAGACTAGACTATAGACTAGACTATAGACTAGACTATAGACTAGGCTATAGACTAGACTAGACTAGACTATAGACTAGACTATAGACTAGACTAGACTATAGACTAGACTATAGACTAGACTATAGACTAGACTATAGACTAGACTAGACTATAGACTAGACTATAGACTAGACTATAGACTAGACTATAGACTAGACTATAGACTAGACTATAGACTAGACTATAGACTAGACTATAGACTAGACTATAGACTAGACTATAGACTAGACTATAGACTAGACTATAGACTAGACTATAGACTAGACTATAGACTAGACTATAGACTAGACTATAGACTAGACTATAGACTAGACTATAGACTAGACTATAGACTAGACATAGACTAGACTATAGACTAGACTATAGACTAGACTATGACAGACTATAGACTAGACTACTAGACTAGACTAGACTATAGACTAGACTATAGACTATAGACTAGACTATAGACTAGACTATAGACTAGACTATAGACTGACTATAGACTAGACTATAGACTAGACTATAGACTAGACTATAGACTAGACTATAGACTAGACTATAGACTAGACTATAGACTAGACTATAGACTAGACTATAGACTAGACTATAGACTAGACTATAGACTAGACTATAGACTACTAGACTATAGACTAGACTATAGACTAGACTATAGACTAGACTATAGACTAGACTATAGACTAGACTATAGACTAGACTATAGACTAGACTATAGACTAGACTATAGACTAGACTATAGGTAGACTATAGACAGACTATAGACTAGACTATAGACTAGACTATAGACTATACTAATAGACTAGACTATGACTGACTAGATACTAGACATAGACTAGACTATAGACTAGACTATAGACTAGACTATAGACTAGACTATAGACTAGAATATAGACTAGACTATAGACTAGACTATAGACTAGACTATAGACTAGACTATAGACTAGACTATAGACTAGACTATAGACTAGACTATAGACTAGACTATAGACTAGACTATAGAACTAGACTATAGACGACTAGACTAGCCTATAGACTAGACTATAGCACTAGACTATAGACTAGACTTATAGACTAGACTATAGATTAGACTATAGACTATACTATAGACTAGACTATAGACTAGACTATAGACTTAGACTATAGATTAGACTATAGCTAAACTATTAGACTAGACTATAGATTAGACTATTAAGACTAGACTATAGACTAGACAGATGGCGCAATATTTCCGCCTTAAAAATTACTATAAAAACATTAAACTTTGCTAAAAATGTTTTCATATTTTAAATATGAGTAATTCCATGACATAATAAATTACATTTTCTTTGAAATCCCGCTTATTAAATTATTTAAAAATTCTATAAAAGCAAAAATTTTGCAGAAATATTTTTCTTGTTGTCACGTGCGAAACATTGTCCAAAAGCATACCATGTAGCACTAAATTCTACACAAATTTCCAAATAATTGACTTTATTGTAAATATTTTGTTTAAGCACTTGCTAATTGCTTTTATCAATATGTATTTCAAAAATTCCCCAAATTATGTGTTTTTTTTGCAAAAATACGTTGACTATACTCATGAAAATGTATTCAATTGTTTTTAAAAATTATAATTGTTTTCTTCTTATTTTAGCATGGATTTACGCAAGTGCTTCCATTTTCATACTCTCAGCTTGTGGACTTTTGGGAATTCTCTTGGTACCTTTGATGAAAACGGTAGCTTATCAGGAAATACTTAACTTCTTGGTAGCTGTTGCTGTAGGTACACTAAGTGGTGATGCTTTGATGCATCTCATTCCGCACGCATTGGCTAGTCAACATTCGGCACCCGAATCCCATGAGCATCATCACAAAGAGGAATCCTCTCATAAGCATGATACAAGCGTGATATGGATTTGTGCTTGTGCCTTTTTCACTGCCTTATTTATGTACATCATTGAAACGCTCTTGCCATTATTGAAAGGTGACAATGCCGAAGGATCTCATGGACATAGTCATCATAGTCACAGTCATCCACCAACACAAAAGAATAATGAAAAACCCTTAAGTAATCCCATGCCAGCGTTGGGCTCTGAAAAGACCCCCGAGCCTTCAACAGCCGATGTAGGAGCATTGAATATTATGTTAAATGAAGCCAAACTCGATATGAAAAAACCATCAAGACCTTTAACGCCTGTGGCTTTTATGGTAGTCATTGGTGATGGTTTGCATAATTTAACCGATGGTTTAGCTATAGGTGCAGCTTTCGCCTCTGATCCGGTCACGGGCTTGGCAACAGCATTTGCGGTACTTTGCCATGAATTACCACATGAATTGGGAGATTTTGCTCTACTGCTACAAACTGGAGTCTCCATGCGTAGAGCTATTTGTCTGAATATTGTCAGTTCAGTTTTAAGTTTTGTAGGCATGGCCATTGGCCTCCTTATAGCCAATCTACATACGAATATGACTCAATGGATATATGCCGGTACTGCCGGTTCTTTTCTATATATAGCATTTGCCGATTTGGTACCAGCTATGGCCAACGAGGCCAAGGGTAAATTGAAAAGTTCATTAGTACAAGTTATAGGCATAATTATCGGTGGCCTAATAATGTTAGTCATAGCCATTAATGAAGATGCATTAGAAGAACTGTTCAACTGATAATATAATTATATTAATAACGCCTATTTAGTGCCAAATATTACTATGTTTTACAAAGTAAATGTCCTCTCATTGTCTTAGCAATTAAGAATAATTAGCTTTAAATATTTTATCCATTTAAGAAATAATCAAGTAAACGAACAATTTAGCTTTAAGTAAAACGAATTTCTAAAATTAATTTTATTTTAATTTCAATTAAAATGCGATATAAAATATTTTATATTAAAAACAGCTTAATATACGACCAAAATATAAATAAATATTTTTAAGTAAAACTCTTAAAAAATGTCTATTATTATCTTTTATGCGTAATTTAAGGTAGCGGTTCTTATGTATATGGAAACTAAAACTAATTTTGTTACGAATTTCTTCTCGATATAAACAAATTTTGAGGCATAGACGAGTTTGGTAACAGAAAGTGGGACATGGTATAAGAAGACAAAGTTATCCTTATAAATTAAAAAGTATCTTATCGAGACATCAACCATTTAATTTTTTCCGAAGAGAATTAACATTTGATATAATTTAACTTTAACTGAAACTAATATTATAGTAAACACGTGCAAACTTTATGATTTTTCTTCTCAAAGTCATACGTAATCACATTAGTTAATGTTATGTATACGTACCGGTAGTCATATTGATACTTGCAACAGTTTGCTGATGTTTTGTACATGATTTTAATACTAATATCTGGGAATTCCGTTCATTTCATTCAAAATTTTGTCTGATTTTTCCGGTTTAACTACATATATATGTATTTCCAAAGACGTATATATGTAAGTATGTACGTACACCTTCTCCAATTACATTTCTGCTTATCCTGCTAATATAAATAAAAATAAAACGAAAACATCTGCTGATATTTAATGAATACTTTTTTGATAAAAAAACGTAAACAAGAGAAAATTAATATAGCGAAATAAAATTTACACTAAAAGAATTTTGCTAAGAAAGGCAATGAATGATGTTAGAGAAATCAAAAGTTCACAAAATTATGCAAAATTTTATTAAAAGTTAATTCAAGTCTTTTCTAGATTTACAGATTTTATAATAAATCTAACGGCTTTGTTTATTTTACAAAATATTTCTAGATTTATATCATAAATATTTGTAATTTGTGTTATATATCTATAATTTAATAACAGTTACGCCAGATAATAAAGTATCTGATTACCATCAACATTTTCCGAGTGCACTTAATATTTAGAAGAATTGTGTTTGAGAAATACTTTCAAGTTATAAAGATAAATGCAAACATTGACAAAAAATATTGTTGATGTTTGTCGTTTTAAGTAATTAGCGGAACATTTTTCTGTGAAAAGTTAATTTATACGAATAATGGTGACACATGACAACAGTTTGATTTGTTAGATCTGTGCATTGAATTTGGATTAATAACACAAATACGTAAATATCAAAGACTATTTTTTATTTGTTTTTAGTTTTTAGATTAAATAGCCATATAACACGTTACGAAAGTTTTTAAACTCATTTAATTGAATATTTACCAAAAGGAAACACGTGAATATCTTTTCTTTTTTAATTTTTTATTTCAAAATAACAATTGTTTACCTAAATAAGTAAAATGTACAGTCGTATATAACATAATACAAATGATACAACTTAAAAATATTAAGACTTATTTCATTAGAGAACAAATTAAGCCATTTGCGTATGCAATTCTTCGAATGGTTCATTTGGTTGACGAGCAGGATTCTGAAAGAGAAAGAACATTTATTATTTATAAATTTAACTAATTTAGATCCTTTAACTGTGCAAAAGAGGAAAGTAAAAACTTGAAATCAACAATAATTTTAGAATTAGATTGTGGTTCAAGTGATAATCTAGAAAAAAAAAATTAAATGATATTGATAGTCCAATTCGAATAAATATTGATAAAGGTGATTAATACTTAACGGCTAATCATTTAGGGCGAAAATAACAGTATTGAGGTGAAATTCAGTAAGGACTCGGCTTATATATGCAAAAATGGTGGGATACATAAAAGAAAGCCTTTATGAAATCACTTTTCAATTGGAGCAACATTCTGCAAATTTGTCTAATCAAGCTGATGTAAAGCTTTAGCATAAAATGATTTGGCAGTAAGAAAATGATAGATGGAACAAATTTCAAAGCTGAAAAATTAGATTTTTGCGAAGTTTGTGAAAAGGTAAACACTGTCGGCATCCTTTTAATGGAACATGCTATTGGTCGTCCTCTTGAAAGGGCGCATTCAGATGTCTGTGGACCCATTGGTCCCACTTTGCAGTAATTTATGCTATTAATAAGATGTCTTACGTTTTCGAGAAATTGGTGGAGTACGAAGCAATGGCTACAGCTAAGATTGGTTTGTCAATTTCAAAGTTAACTGTACATCAAGGACGTAAGTACAACTCCAAGGAGCAATGGAAATGGTACAAATCAAAAGGCATTCAACTAGAAGAAACAATTGCTTACTATCAACATCAATATGGCGTATTTGAACGTTTTAATAGAACGTTAGTTGAAAAAGTTCGTACTTTTGGCATATGCCGAAAAATGTTTGTGTTAAAGATCCCCCTGCTGGTGTTCATGTAGATGATAACGTCACTCCTGTTGAAATGTGGTTCGGTTTCAAACCAAGAATATTTGGATGCAAAGCCTTTTGCATGGATACATAAACAGAATAGAAGAAACATGTCTAACGGATGTAAAATGTGGAATATGAAGGCAAATAAGACTGTTACCACCAGAGATGTTAAATTCGATAAAACTAGTTATCCGTTCTAAAGTAAATTAACGAATTACAATTGTGTTAAGCCATGACAAGCAAGAAGGGGAAGAAGATATTGTTAATAGTGTTCCTGTTACTGATCCCGTATTTAATGAAGAAAATATTTTACTGATGAGTCCGAAGAATCACTGTACAAATTTGTGATGAGGAAATCCGGGAAGTCAGAAGAAGTGGTAGATAACGAAGGTCCCCTATTAGATTTATAGACTATTTTACGAGTAATTTGGCCTCTGTCGAAACATTTAATTGTTTAAGAGAACTTAATAAATATTTGGACATTTCTGTTAGATCAGATGCTGACTAATGATGGAACGCTATTGATGAAAAGTTAAAATTAATACAATCTAATAAAGTCTAGGTTCTTATTAAACCTCCGAAAAATACAATGCTACTGAAGTCCAGATTGATATTTAAAAATTAAGTGTGATGAGAATGGAAATCCTATACGATGCAAAGACAGCTTGTTTGTAAAAAGGTTTTTTACAAAAATATGGGATATACTACTACGATGCGTATGCGCCTGTGGCAAAACTTACAACCATACGTATTGGACTAGCTATTGCGTCGAAGAAAAATCTGCTCCTTCATCAATTGTACATAAAAACAGCCTTCTTAAAGAGGAAATCTTTATGGCTGTACCCGAATGCTTGACAGCTGGAAAAGGTTTATCTTGTCGACTACATGAATCATTCTATGGACTAGAATGATAAAGTAAGTTCAGATTTCAAACGTTCCATACAAGATTATTGTCTTTATACCAAGTATTGACAAACTGAAAACGAAGTTTTTTATATTACTAGCTATACCCAGTGTGCTTTGCTACCCTAAAAGCAATATGTACCAATAGTTTTCCAGATTTATAATATGTTACATATGAGAGATGTCAAGCAAATTATTGCAAGTTCGCCAGTTTCTATCTATCGCCAATTTCTATCTATTTATGAAAAATTTGAATAATATACGAGCTTCCAAGACACACGAAATTTTGTATTTAATTCATATATGTTGTGCCAAGCCACCCATTGAAAGTCCGCCCGTTATGATCTAAATGTTCACATGAATGCCAAAGTTCTTCATATAAAATTTGAAGATATACGATATACGAATTTTTCTATTTGATTCATGTGGAGGCTTCAAGCTCCCAGGATTAAAGTCCGTACTTTTTCCTCCAAATGTTCAGATGAATATTAAAGTAATTTGTGCAAAATTTTAAGAATCAAGTTCTATTAGTTTCCCAGATAAACGAAATGTTATATTTAATTCATATGGGAGGTGCCAAGTTCCCCATTAAAAGTCCGCCCGTTATACTCAAATGTTCTAATAGTTTCTCAGATATACGAATTTTTCTATTTAACTCATATGGGGGCTTTAAGCCCCCTCCAGATGTAAGTCCGCTTTTTGTTCCTCCAAAATGTTCAGATGAATATTTAAGTTCTTCGTGCAAAATTTGAAGAATTTTGTTCCATTAGTTTCCCAGATAAACGAATTTTGTATTTAATTAATATGGGAGGTGCCGCTCCCCTCATGGGTAGTCCGCCAATTTATTACCCAAAATGTTTAAAAGGATGTAAAAATTATTCGTGCAAAATTTTAAGATTCTAACTGTAATAGTTTCCAAGATAAACGAATTTTTGTATTTAATTTATATGGGAGGTGCCACGCCCCCTAATACTATTCCGTCTACTTTTTGTCCTACATAATCATATTGACACTAAAGTTGCTCCGACAAAATTTGAGGACTGTAACTGTTATATGATCTCAAATATACGGATTTAATATTTTCTTAATATGGGAATGGCTCCTCGCCCACTTGGGATTTAAAAATAAAAAGTAGCCTATACCTATTCCAGACATACAGGAAACGCAGTGAAAATTTGAAGAAAATCGGTTCAGCCATTTAGTAGTCTATAACGTTCAAACATACAAACATACAAACAAACACACATTCTTTTATATATATAGATAGATTTAAGATTTACTGATTGAGGTCAATAGAAAATCTAAAAACTACTACAATTGACGACCATTGGGCAAGGGATATAACAGATCTAAAGTCTGTTATAGGTTACATCTTTAAAATTTATGAATTACAGTGTCATGGTCAAGTAAAAAACAGCAAAAAGTTCAACATCATCGAATGAAGCTGAAGACGTGACCTTAAGCTCTGCACTATATGAATTAATATGGCTAAGAGAATTACTTCAAGATTTAAATAGTTTAAAGCAACTGAAGCTGTTTGTAGTTATGATGATAATAGTGGTTGTGTTTGCGTGGCAAGTAACGTGGAGTCAAAGAGATTCATACACATTGATAAACAACATTACTATCCTTGCTTCTCCTCTGAGTAAATATCGTGGGTTAAACAATAACATTTGTTTACAACAAAAATTTCTAATTTTTGTATTAATAAATTAAAGATTGTGTTTAGAGTAAATGCCGAAAACTTTAAATATTACGAATAGGGTCATAAAAATGTCAAATCATAGAATGTTTAAATATTTT